GCATCATTTATGTTTTTAACAAGAGCCAAAAGTGGAAATGATCCATCCATCTGTCCATACATGCATGTGGTTAGCATGATAACTTGAAAAAAGTTAGTGACGTACTGACTTCTATTTTGGTGTGTGGCTGCATCTAGGGGTTTTAATGGTTGCTTTCAAAACTTGGGTTTCCACGTCCAAATCCAAAATGGCTGCTGTCATACATGTCCGTTTTTTGAACTGGGATTACTTGAGGAAAAAAAAAAAAAAAAAAAAGCAACGTGCCAACTTCCATTTTAGCATGTGACTGTATAAGAAAGTTCAGTATCAAAAATTAAGTTGTCAAAATCCAAGATGGTCATCATATATAAAATGTATGTCTAAACTCTCCACCAAAAACTTCCTCTGTGTGACTTCTACCCACTTTGCTTTGTAGAGATGTAGAGTGCTGTATGAATGAGTAAATGAGGGCACATATTGTAATGTAAAGCGCTTTGAGTATCTTGAAATAAGATAGAAAGGCGCTATATAAATACAGTCCGTTTACCATTTACTTTAATATCGTGCATCAAAACCACTGTTTGCTTGCATTCTCTGTTCAGTTCCAGTCCCAAAAACACTTAGCTGAAGAATTCACTATTCAAATCCTTCAGCAACGATCAGCGTGTCCTTGTTCTATTTCTCTTGAGTGAGGTATTGCTAAAATAAATTGTCTTTACCTGATATATGCATGTCGGGTATCTGCATGGCAGAATCTGGAAAAATGTCTTTATTGCCCAGTACTCTTTTGTATGATGGAATAATTTGCATTTAAAGCTTTTTAAAACAATCAACAACAAAAAACACAAGTTTAGAATATATCAGTTTGATCAGACATAAAGATTGGTCACTGGATCGATACTGATTGAAAGATAAATAGAGAATATTAACCATAGTAGGTATTTTGCAGTTTTATTTTAAACGCAAACACTTTTTTTCATGAAATTTCAATAATATAAGTAAGAAAAGTACATTTTGTTCATCCTAGTTCTGTGATGTGGCAGAGTTAAAATATTTTCTGGCCTTCTATGGCTTGTTTTAAGGGTAGTTACATTACAATTTGGTAAACCACAGGATTTGAAACCAATGTATCAAATGGAACTGTGTTAAATTCAACAATAACAACAACATGAAAGCCTCTGGGTTGCAGACAAATCCTAACAACACCATAAAAACAGGATAATGTGTTTTTTCTCCTTTAAGTGGAGCCTCCGAGTCAACACATGTCTCCAAATCAAAGTATCAACCATGACTGTTTGACTAGCTGAAGGTTTATTCTGCTTTTAAATTCTGTCTGAAGTAATTTTTCAATCTGGTTCCAGCAGAGGGTTTACTGTCCTTTGATCGGCATTTCTGGCGTTAGCGGTATTATTTTATGTTTGCCTTTTATTTCTGCATCATGCTATCTACGCCTGGCGGCAGAGGAGAGGAAGCAGGGATGGGATTGTGGATGGAATTAATTTAAAGGAGGAAAATGAAGGAAGTAAACATGCAACTAGAGAAGGAAGGAAATGAGAGAGGGGAGAAGAAATAAGGGGGGGAATAAGGGACAGAAAGGAAATGAGGGGGAAAGAACAGGAAGAGCAACGTTAGGAATAAAGGAAATGAAGAATAAATGAAGTAAATTACGTCAAAATTCATGCTCAGTAATCCAGGTAGAAAATCTAACAATGTTCAGTCAGGTTATCTGGACTGTTTGTTTTTTGCTGAGATGTTTCATCCTTCATCCAAATGACTTCATCAGTCCGAGGAACCACCACAAGCAGCACACTCTCATAGTAGACCATCCAGTTTGCTGGTGATGAGACGGTTTCTGGAGCCCGCCCTCTCCCTCATCATCTCCTCAGAGGCAGCCATAGCCAAAGTGGTTCAAAACGTCCAAGTTCATGTTCAATAATCCAGGTAGAAAATCCAACAAATTTCAGTCAGATCATCTGGACGGTTTTTTTTTTTTTTTTTTGAGACGTTTCGTCCTTCATCCAAAGGACTTCATCAGTCCGAGGAGCCACCACAAACTGATGATGGTTTGAACCACTTTGTCTCTCTTATCACCATCAAACTGGTTGATCCACTATGGGAGTGTGCTGCTTATGGGACTCAGTTTGCCGTGGCTCCTCCGATTGATGAAGTCCTTTGGATGAAGGATGAAATGTCTCAACAAAAAAACAGAAACCACCCTCATGACCTGACTGAACTTTGTTGGATGTGAATAACAAGTGCCCAGGAAATAAAGTGATGGGATGGATGTTTTAAAATGAGAACTTGAAGCAGCAAGAAGCATGTGACGTGCATAATAATGAAGAAATAATAAAGGAAAGAAAAGTTATTGGATTTAATAAACCGTGTCTTTTGTGCCAGTCAGTTGTGACTTCCTTTCAGCAATTTTCTCCATTTATTCTCTTATCCTAAATGTATCTTATTT